GGTAAATATCATATAACGATTTTATGTCGTTTGAATGAAATCTCTTTCATATTTATATTATATGCTCTACGCTGTATGCGCGTGATGTAGACGGTCTATTGCTAATAAATTTAAAAAATATACATTAGTACCCTTGACTTGAGTACAATTTGAACGTAATCCATCTTGGTCAAATTACTTTCATAACGTTGTTGGATAATTTAATGTGAAACAGTGAAATATAATATATGTCACATAAAATTAATGTCATTTCAAAGTATTACATTTCAAACGATGTAACTAGTATAAATAGAAATATAAAGCTTAATATGTTAAATGGAGGATTTGTTCTTTAAAAGTATTTAAATTAAAAGTGTATAAGAAAAGAGGATGATATAATGGGAAAAGGATCAAGGATCAAGATTCTTATGCTATATATAGATTTAAATGTCTCGTCTTTTCTCGTCTATATATAAAGCTCGTCTATATATATATAAATTAGAACGTACGCACGCATTTACAAATGCAAGTTCTCAGCAGAAAATTCAATAAACTCGCCGCGCCGTCTTGCTATCTGCTGCCATTGTTCATCGCGTGTTACTCGCTATCATATGGTTCACTGCGGTAAAGAGAACAAAGGAACTTTCAACGAAAGTAGCTATATTTGCCTCGCAGAATCGATACTTCTATGGTGCATACCTCGCAGCTCTCTCTCTCTCTCTCTCTCTCTCTCTCTCTCTCTCTCTCTCTCTCTCTCTCTCTCTCTCTCTAAGTATTTTACACCTTTCTTATTACGGCGATGTGTATGCGTCGCGCCATGAGCGCGTGTCGCGTTAAAAAAAGGAGCAAAGCTGTTGGAAAATACAGTTCAAAGAGCGCATCGACATGCGGAGTAAGAAGAAAAGAGTTAGAGAGACATGTATTGTATATTAATTAAAGTTTGTGTGTGATGATTGATAAAGTTTTCCTTTGAATGCTCGAATTGTTGACTTCCGTAACGGTTAGTATCTGCCGCGTGGCAGGTCTCTTTTCATTCCGTGAAAAAAGAGTCAAATTGTGTGCGATTGCGTTGACGTTGGCAATCAATCGATGAAAATATACTAGTATCGGTATTGTGTATATACCGTTTACATCGAACGCGCGTAATTACGGGCCGGCTTATTAATAACGAAAACAACCGTAGCTTTCCCCGTAACTTTCCACCCGTCATGCATAAGCTTTGTAATTAAGTAATTTAATCCGCTCGATTAAGCTGCTGCGTACATAAATTATGTTTGCATAACACGATATTTTGCCATTTTTTTCGAGGGGTATCGTGTTAAATCGATCGAAGGATGATTCGGCATTTACATAAACACGTTCTTGGCATTTATCAATCAAGAGCATAGATAAATATGTTCTGGACCTTTATCGATAACGTATCGATGCTTGTTAGGCTACAAGAATAACGAAAGCTATATATTCCATATGTCTAACATATATAGCAATGTGCGTCTAGTTGTGTGTGTGTGTGTGTGTACTTGCGCGTTCACGTTTCTCACACGTTTAAATATTAAAAATTAGAATGCTATTAAGACCGATGGAGAAACACGGTCTAATATTCTTCAAACTCTCATAAAAAAATGAATGAATTACAAGATTCTCCAGACTATATTAACTAGGATAAAATATTTAACATATAATTACACATTTAATATATCTAATTAGTATATATATCACAACGCAATATTAACACGATTGAATATTACGTGGAAGGATTTGATTGCTCGATCGACACGATACGCAAAACGGGTAGAGAGGAAAAAAAAAAAGGAGTAAGGACCGTGGACTCACGTCATAATTCGCCGCTTGCAACAGGCTGCAGCTGGTCACGTCGACGCGCACGCGTGCGGTCAGTTGCTCTGGCAGTTCGTGCTCTTCGTCAATTAATCGTCGCGTTAATTAGTACATGCTGCCGGCGCCGTGTTTCTAATTCCCCTTAGATGGCACTCGACAATCGCACAGGTAGTCGTTAGAGATCGATGCCGAGCTGCCGTGGTGTTGACCAGTCGACAAGTGTGTGCTGACTACAAGGTGTTGCTGCTGCTACTACTGCTACTGCTACTAATGCTACTGCTGCTGGCCTGTGGTATATGGTTGCCACTACCTCAGTAACTGACTCGCGCGCACGACTCCACTCGGTGGCGATGGGATGCGGGGGAAGAGCATCGGAGGGTGGAAGGTCGGCTTGGGTGGAAGGGTGCGGGAGCTCTCCCCTCGAACCCGCACGGTCTGCAGGGATGTATCAAACCGTACGTCAAGAATAGAGAAAGGAGGGATACGGAAGAGAAGGCGGTGAAAGAGGGTGATCAGGTGAAAGGCGTACGGGAGGGGTGGTGGAGGGCTAATAAAGAAAAAAGAGAGGGCTAATATAAAGAGAGGGATCGGGCGCAACAGGCGCGGATAAAACATAGATAAAACGCGAATGGAGGCATATGCTGCCTCGTCATCGTCGTTGTCGTCGGCACTCTGCCATAAATTGAAACTATCCCGCGCGTGTATATACTGACTCTTTCCAGCGTATCAGCGTGGCTAGATAATCGTGCAAATTGAACGGCGCGCGTGGCGGTCAAGAAGTAGGACATTCTGCGATGAATACGACGACGGCCTTTATTAGAATACAGAGCGCTATCGTGAGACTGGGTAGGAATTTTGTTAAAACGCTATGGTACGGACATCTCGCCGTGCAAAAGAATACACTTGCGAGAAAAATACTGTTAAAGTCGCTATAAATGAGATGTATGTACATATACTTATCTATCGGGAGGATACGTAACTGATTACATAATAATCGATTATTTTTATCGTATAGAGTCTATCTTTCTGAATTTGAGGATCTCTCTTTCTCTCTCTCTCTCTCCCTCTTTCTCTCATCTTTGTTCTCTTTCTCACGTTCTCTGGGAACTGACGTAACTGTGTCGAATGACGGAATGAAATATAAAGCGGATATCTCATACGTCACGCCACACTAAGTAAACCTCACAATTGCACCATTGTGCGTGTGTGTTGTTCGTAACGCGTTTACAAATGACACGTTTGCCGGCTTGCACGCTGATCGAGGCAAACAGGTGTCCTTGTGCTATATTGTACTTATATTGACGTGTCGCACCTCGTAGTCGCCACGACAGTCTGGACGAAGGAGGGTCGATGATCAGGGAAAGTCTGACTCTCATGGGCTCGCAGGATTCTAGGTCACGCAGCGAAAATTTTACGTGCCGCGTAAGCATGCGCCGATTTTGCCACGTGTCCGTCCCTTCTATCATCCTACTGTCGGAGGAAAGGAAGTGTGTATTCATTCCAGGAAATAATGGCCCGAGTAATAAATTAGGTTTGGGAAATTATTTATAAATGTTTCTGTTTATTTTATATTAATATTTAATTAATAATATAAGAAAGGCGCTTTAAGAGTCAATACTGTTCTTGATACGAAAAAATAATTTTTAAGTTATTTATAACTTAAAATAAATAAAAAAATTATATTAACACATATTTGATGGATATGTAATGAGTGAGATTTTATGAATTAAGTAAAAAGTACCGTATAATTAAAAAATTTTCTATTATGTTAATAATGTATAAATAAATTAAAAAACACTATACAGAATGGTGTTACTAATTGTAAGTATTCTAAAAGATTTTAAGGATTGATTCCTCATATAAATTTAAAATAAAGAGTTCACTCTGAGTACTTACAAAGGAACCATACGAAGTGTTAAAAATTCTGATTTTAATGTAACTTGTATTTATATCAAAAGATAAATTTAAAAAATATCAATTTAAGCGAAAAAGCGTTTTTAAGGAGTGAATTCATCTCTCGTATATAATAAGGGTTTTAGCTTTTTTTATTATATCTCAAAAACTATTCGAGATATCAAAAAATGTTTCATACAAAAATTTTACAACTTAATTGTGCTCATTCACGTCAATAATATTTTGAGAAATAAAAAAATGTTTTAATTTAAAAAAATATTATTGATGTGAATGAATGGAGAGGCAATTAAAAATTTTTATATACAACATTTTTTGACATCTTGAACAGTTTTCGAAATATAACGAAAAAAGCTAAAACCCGCGTTATTTCTATAAGGAATGATTTTATTCCTTGAAATCGTTTTTCCGCTACAAATGATATTTTCTAGATTTAACTTTTTGTAATCTATAAGTATACAAAGTTTCATTAAAATCAGAATTTAATACTTTGTGTGATTATCTTGTTAGTATCTACCTTATTATATAAAGAAAACATAAATGTGTAGAAATATAAATATACGTAAATCTTATTTATTGTAAATATACACACACACGCACACACACACACACGTATGCACGCACGCATGTTTATATGTGTATATATGTATATTATAAACTCTAAAAGTAAGTATAGATATATGTATATCTATGTTAAACTTGTGTTTATTAAAGCTTATGAGAAGTTAATAAGAATTTGTTTCTAAATTATCTTTAAATATTTGAAGACTACAATTGGATGATTGAATAATAATAATCAATTTATTTAGTAATACAAATTAGTGTTAACTGTAATTAATATCAATTATATTTAATCACAAAGTTAGAAAATTACACGTAAAAAATTGTGTAAAAAATTATTTAAGTAAAATAAGAGCATCTCTACTTTAGAATTAATAATTGAAATCAACGAATTAATCAATTTTCGACAATAAAGTTTAATTTATTGCATATGATATAGTTTATCCTAAAAAAAAAAAAACAAGTATACTTTTGAGCTAGTATACATGATCTTTTGCTGAAAATCCAGAATTCAGTATAATCTTTCATCGTTCTATGGCATAAGAGTTCTCTTCCATATCATCATACTCACGGTTAGTTTTACCGATAATCATTGTTTTTATCATTTGGTGCAGCTGAAATCCTAGTTTTAATTTTCTAATAAGAGTGCGCTTCACGGTATTAATTTGCAATTGTCTTTCTTCTTTCTTTTTTTTATAAATTGCGAAAAATATCATAAAGAAAGCATTGATAGCGATATGTTAAAAATAAATTCTTGAATCAATTCTTTTGTACAAAATGGGTTTGGAATTTGGTAATTTACCGATACGAATTCGTAGAATCGTGTACTTCGGTTTATCGCCATTGGAGCAACGAGCCTGGGCAAAATCGATAACGCACGGAGTACCCAATTCGCTGAATAGAGCAATGCGTGCGCTTCCACCAATGCTTCCAGGTACACATTTAAGTATTTTACTTTTCATTAACACGGCACGTATATATACTAAAATTAAACAATTATATTTTAATATAATTAATTTTTAAAACTGTATTTATAGTAAAATTTATAAAATTTTTGGTATGTGTTAACTATAAATTATAAGTAGTACTTAAGTACCTCTAATTAAGTACGTCTAATTAAAATATCTAAATATAAAACATATACAAACAACAAGCTGCTTAAAAAACAAACATTTCAAATATTATTATCTTTTTCATTATTTCTATATTTAAGCAATTATTGATAAATAATTAATTTTCTTTTTATATTTCTATTATCCTTAATTTTTACCATTTAATGTTTACCATTTAATGTTTATCATTTCATTTTTAATAATTTATTAATTGTATCCCTTTTTGTACATTAAAAATTTTTTTTGTAGTTACAAATACGGGTTTTTATTTTCAAAATATCGGGTTTCAATATTGTAATCCTTCTCTAGAATTAATTGGCATCGTTTTATAAGATATAAATACTAACGATCCAGTTCAGTTAGAGAAACGAAACATTTTAATTTTATAAAGCAACTTGTTTTATATGACTACAATCTTTTCACATCCAGATGTAATTACCGATTGTATTGAACCATGACATTTATTTTATGCCTACTGCACTTTTTTATAATTCTGTTTTTCTATCTTCTCTCAAAATAATCTCAATATATAATATTTGATCACAAACATTCAAATCTCTGTTTTACAGAGTATTCGATTTAATCTGTTTGTTCCGATATCTCAAAAACTATGAAAGATAAACTGAAAATTAAAAAATCTTTTCAATGAGTTTTTATATGATTTTTAGCGGGATAGAGCGACACTTCCATTTTGAGAGGAGGAAGAAGAGTGATATTTTTTTAAATAGAATCGCTACAAAAATACGATTAATCGAAAGTACGAATCTATTGACCTACAATATTAAGAGTCTAGAATTTTATTACTGGAGACTGTAACGAATTTTTTAAATTATCTTAGAGTACATTTTACAGAATTGTTCAGAATGAATTCCGATCAGAATTGTTCAATTATTCCCTAGATTTATATTGTGTTTTCTAAGGAAAACAATTGAAATTCATTTCGAACAATTCCATAATACGTGCCCTGAGACTACTTCAAAAATTCGTTGCGGTCGGAATATCGAAGATAGATTTTTCTAATATCATAGGTCAATAGAATTGTCCTTTCGAACTCCATCGATTAATCTTATTTTTGTAAGGGAATTCCATTAAAAAAATTTGACAACTTTTTCTTTTCAAATGCAGTTTGGAAAGATACGATTTTATCATACTGAAAATCATCTTTAAATAATTCTATTAAAGATCTTAATTTTTTGTCTATTCTTAATAATTTCTAAAATATTGGCGTGGACAGATTAAATTTAACATATGGAAGAAAATAAGATAGATAAGTAGACTTTATTGAAATTATATGTAACTAAGCCTTAGGTAAGTTTGTGTATTTAATACACAAAATAAAATAAATCATCATGATTTATTACAATAATAATACCATAATGTAATATCACATAAGAACGTACTTACACAAATAACGCGTTAAAAATTTATGCTGAAAATTCTAATTTTATTTGATCAAACTTAACAAAAACATTGCTTGTATGTGCGCGCGTGCGTATGTGTGTGAAAAAGATATATAAATAT